CACTCCACGTCGATGTAGACAGACGGTCCAGATCGACACGAGATGAGTATTTAAACATCGCGTCTCAGGGAACCCTAACCCTAGCCGCACCTGCCCTCGCCCGAGAAGAAGAATCAGATGCCGGAGAAGGAGATCGACCCCCGGTTGTCGCTGCACCGGAGCCATTGCCGACCACTGACTGCCAAGAAAGGTAAAATTTTCTCCTTCCCGCTCGGAATTCAATTTCGAATCTCCCTGTGGGTATATCGGAGTAAAAGGAACGGTAGGTGAACCGGAAACCGCAGGTAAAGTCCAGTGGAGCTGCACTGTCAAAACCTTAAAATCTCTCCGATGAGCCCCTTCCCGTTTTTCGTTTTACACGATTTTTTTACCATTGTGTTCACCATTCCTTTCTGTGCAGGTTAGCCAAATGAGAAACTCCAGCCGTGAAGGAGAACCGGCAGAGTCGCCACACTCGGAGACCCTTCCCGCCTAAAGGTTTGAATTTTTGATTTTTTTGGCCAACCAAGACTTCATAATGTGTTTCTTCGTAGGGGTACGTGTAAAACCAGTAAAGACTGGCAAAAAATCAGCAAAAATTGATCAGGTCAAGGGGCGGCGTTGTGCCAGAACCCTAAAATTGGTCAAAGAGGGTTTTCAATACCGATTTTGGTCTTTTGGGGTATTTCTGGGTACGTGACGGGTATTTTAATTTTTGCAGGAAAAATTCTGGAAACTCTGGAACTGTCAGGAGGCGTAGGAGGTAGCACGGCGTTTTGAATATTGATTCGGATAAGAATTTATCATCCTATTATTTGTTACGATAAGTAGAGGCTTAAAAATCAATAATCACGTATTTTGTGAAAAATAGAAAAACCCTAACAATAATTACAGATCACTAATGGAGGCGGAACCGGTCAATGTACAATTGCCTTGGTTTATTGTTCATTTCTCCTATGTTGTTTAAAATGTTTATTATTGCATTGTGTGCATTAAATTCTTAGTTTAAATTGTGTTCTCAATTATTTGATTTACTTGGGTTCTCCTGCACTGATTATTTGGTTATCTGATTACTTGGTTATTCGGTTATGTAAATTGTATCATTTGTTTAGATGTCATTTAAATTGATCTGTGAATGTGTGATATACGATTGATGGTTGTTTGGACGATAAAAATTTATGTATATGAAAGCTTACTGGGTGCTCTGGGAAAAAGGTGGACGAACTCGGTACATAAAGAACCCTACTGTGGACATTATATTAGTCGGACGGGGCTGAGAAGTTCCTTACCGGAAGGGTTTGGGAAAGATGGTTCACTTCATACTGGATGGGGTATCAAGGGGATGACATGTTGGCGCCCATTATCGGACGGGGTATGGGGACGGTCGGGTTAATTGTCAAATCGAAATATTGAGTTAATGAGTAGAAGGATATCCCTATGAACTCTCAGGGGTCTCAGTAAGTAGGTTAGAAAGGAAGAATTATTGATTTTATACATGAAATTAAAATGTCATTTGGTTATTTGTTTTCGTAGGTTGACTTTTGAAAAACCCGTAACGGTAAGTATGGAATAAAATATTTTAAAATTAAATGTATTTATCTAAATGAAGGACTCCATTAGTTGTTTTGTGATTTTTTCCAACCTTCAGTTTTTCGTATAAGTGATATTTTTATTGGAGTAGTATAACTCACTATTTTATTAATCATTTTGAATTAAGAAAATTAAGATTCAGATCTCGATCAGTAAGATGGTTGTCAGTAGATCACCTCCCGGACTTCCATTCAAGTACTAGTAGAGATTAACCCTCTAGGATATCTATTTATTTGTTTTGATTATCATTTGTCTTTCTTTATAAACCAATGTAAAAGGGACATACCCATATCTCTATTGATTGAACATTCTAATTTAATGTGTAAAGAATGTAAACTCTAATTATTATTTGTTTATGCTATTTTAATATATATTTCTTTTGTTAAGATTTCGGTCCTTTATAAGGAGACTAGTAAGTAGGATTTGAAGAAGGTATTTGAGGAATTTTATTTGGATGGATCTATATGCAAGAGCATGAACTCCATGTTTATCACTTTAGTCCCCAAGGAGTAGTCAATGAAGGTTTCAGATTACTGCACTATAAGCTTAGTGACTAGTGTTTATAAGATCATCATGAAGGGTCTTGTCTACAAGACTTAAGGTTAAAAAACACTATCTTGCTAAATTAGAGTGCTTTTATTGAAGGCTGACAAATCCTTGATGTATCTTTGATAGCGAATAAGGTAGTTGAGTATATTAAAGGACTTATAGAAAAGGCTCGGTGCTTAATTTAGACGTCAAGAAGACACATGAGAGGGTGAATTGGGGATTCTTTGATAAAGTGACAGAGGTGAAGAGCTTTTGGATAAGATGATTTAAGTGGATAGGTGGATGTTTGCAGTCATTGTCTTTTGTAATTATGGTCAATGGAAAACCTCATCAATGGTTTCAAGCCTCGAGGTGCTTAAGGCAAGGTGACCTATTATCTCATTTCCTTTTCCATATGTTAGTGGATGTATTGAGTCGAATGTTAATTAAGGCAACGAAGAGGAATATATTGAGAGGCTTAAAGTTAGGAACATATAAGATTGAGGTGTCTCATTTTTAGTTTGCAGATGATAAAACCATGCTTTTACAACATGATAATAGATCAACTGGAAACACTTTTATTATCCCGCAAGCCTTTAAACATATTTATGGTCTTAAGATCAATTTGATTAAAAATAGCTTAGCTGGTGAATGTAGAGAGGGAGGATCTAAACTACTTAGTGAAATCAATCAGATATACCATATTAGATTGACCCATGAACTACCTTGGGGTCCCTCTCGGGGGCAATCTTAATAATCAGGATTTTTGAGAGAGAGTTGGTAGGAAAGTGGCTATGTGTCTAGAGAGTTGGTAGGAAAGTGGCTATGTGCCTAGAGAGTTGGAAGGAGAGCTTTCACCTTGATTGAGTCTTGCCTCTCACTAGTGTACCATGTACTTTTTGTCCCTTTTTAGAATTCCAGTTGGAGTGGTTGAGAAACTAGAAAGTCGCATGAGAAATTTTTTTTGGACAGGGCTGGGGAGGACAATAGGGGTTACTTGGTGAATTGGGATACATGTTGCTTACTTAGAACCTCAGGTGGATTAGGTCTAGGAATTCTCAGGTCCAAGAATATACCATTGTTGGCCAAGTGACTTGTATTTCCCTTAGGAACCAAACTCCATGTGGCACAAGGTAATCAAAAGCATCTATAGGAGCAGAAGGAATCGGTGGGATGCCATTACTCCTACAACCACCCATCATTGAAGTCCTCGGGAAGCCATTTCCCAAGCTTACTCTTCCTTCACCTCCTTCACTCGTATTCGTTTGGGAGATGGTTGCAAAGCCAACTTTTAGGAAGATACTTGGGTGGGAAGTTAACTATTAGCCACAGTTCCCTTGCAAATTCAATCTATCTCATAAATTTATTAACCCTGTCTCAGAATTCATTTTCAAAAATGAATGCGATATTACCTGAAACTTCTTCTTTAGTTGTATCCTTTATGATATGGAGGCTTCTGAAATAGTAAGCCTTCTAAATCTCTTGGAACCTATTCAACTTAACAGTTGATTAGACAAAAGGATATGGACCTTGGGACCTTTATGAGCATTTACTTGCAAATCCTTTTTTAGACATCTCAATTCCGAAGCTAATGATAACATAATATATAAGGCCAATAAGTTCTGGAAATCTTCTGTTCCTTCCAAAGTCAAGGTGTTCACTTGGATCACCATGCTTTAAAGGCTAGACACCAATGAGATGCTTCAAGTTTGCCGACTAATCATGCATTGTCTCCAGATATATGTGTTATGGGTCTTGCCGGAGGAGAGACGCATTCACCTATGTTCTTACACTGCTATGCATCTTGGTGATCACTTTTGGTTTAAGTTGGGTGAGCCCCTTGATAGTGGAGGTGTTCATGAAATGTTTTTTGAAAAGGTGCACTCTTTGTTGGCCTTTGGAGCATTTGGCTTGCAAGGTATTGTTGGATCTTTAACGACCAGACCACCCTTTCCAAGAGCTATGAGAAAGAGTCACTTTTTTGGCTACATTGCAGGTTAAGATCATCAGTGTTATTCTATTATTAACATCTCTGATGTCCATTGAATTGGGAAGTTTTTGTTTCTAGGAGAATTTTTTGTTATGTTTGCTTTTCTTTTACTTTTCTTGCTCACAGAGGATGTCTTATACTCCTTGACTGTATTCTTCTTTCCTTTATCTGTTAATAACGCATATTGTATTGAAAAAAAAAAACTATGCTTTGGAGTTCTTCTATTAGAAGGCTCTAGGAGGATATCTTATCCTCGTTGTATTATTTTTCTGTTTCATGTCCTTAAATATTTCTTTTCTGTCATCTTTTTTATTTCTTACCAAATCCACTCAATTAAAAACTAGTAAAACCTCAATTTTATTTAGAAAGAAAATGATTCTCAAATCCCAACAATTCTTTCTTCCTAATAGAACACAGTTGGACCTAAAAATATTGTAATGGACTTCCTCCCACAAGAAAGTCCTGATTGTGACTTTTTGAATCTGATTGGGTCAAGAAGATCCTGGTTGGGGTTTTGTGCTGCTACTTCTTGATGGCATGTCAGAGCAGAGTACTATCAAGCATTTTTTGGTTGAAGACCACATTTGGTTTTATGACGCTCCTTGAGGAGTAATCACGTGTTTTTGCGGAATTAAGTGCTATTTTATCAGTGCAATTTAAAATTGAAGCCATCTTTAAAAGGTCATGTTTATTTGATAGGAGCAACCTAGTTTATTGGACTCTTTTTGCTTATACTGATGGAGATTGTTGGTAGGAGTAAACAAGAAATTCCCTAGGTCTGGAAAAGAAAATAAAAATATTAAATTTAGATATTTGTACTTTGTCAAAGCAAGGAATCATGACATATATGTTTGAACTTTATGAAGTACAAAGAGATCTGCCGAAATGCTCTTTAGGCAGCTTCGCAAACCACCACATTTTCATAATGAAAGTATCAATTAACACTTGATCATTGCTGGATTCAAGTTTGAAATCGAAAGTCATGTTATGTTGTGAAATTTTTGTTAAACCCATCCTATGAGTTACAACTTTTTCTTAAAGTTAATTCTTGTGGTCCTGAAGGCCTTGCAGGCTAGTTGTGGAGGTCGGAGTGAAAGCATTCTTCCGGAAACTCCTGTGGTTCATGAACAACTTTGGGTGGATAAATATGCACCACACTCCTTTACGGAGCTTCTCAGTGATGAACAGACAAATCGTCAGGTGTGTCGGATCTATTTCCAAGGATTATGCATAGTGAATATTCTGAGAAGGATTTTGTTATTTGAGGATTCTATTTCTTTGGCCTTTTCGTTCCAGTTTCCTAATTTTTGATAATTTTTATACTGCAGGTTCTGTTATGGTTGAAACAATGGGATTCTTGTGTCTTTGGATCTGAAATCAGAAGCACATCAGATGAGGTTTTGTCTGCATTGAGACGACATTCTGCTGCTGCTCAACATGAGAAACTTTCTGATTCAAATTTTATGAGGAAGAATCAAGGACAAAGATGGGGCAATGGAAGACCTCAATATGCAAAAGATTTAGACAGTGGAAACAGTGATTTGAAACGCAATCAAGACTTATGGAGTCAGAAATCAAGGCACACTGGTCCACCAGAAGAGAAGGTCAGCAATAAGGGTTTTTTTCTTTTAAATAAGTAATTTTCTGTTTATATCATTTGTTATTTTTTTTAAGAAAAAATTTTGTTTTTTGTTCCTCGTATGTTAATTTAGCTCCCATCAATGAGAATTTATTTTATACTCTGCTGTAATATTTAAATATGGGAGTGGTTAATTGCAGAGATAAATGCCTTTCCACTGAATTAGCTTCCCATTTATCCTTCTAATGTATAATACTTACCAGAATCTATCATAGGTTGTGATCTTTTAATACTTATTAGAATCTATTGTAGGTTGTGATCTTTAAGAGTGAGCTTGGTTGAAAGCTGTTATCACCATGTCATGGCCCTTAAACTAGCGACAGTTCACAGGCATAGTAGTAATTTACTATTTAAGAATTATATTATTTAGGTTATGTTTTATGTTTTCTTTTCATATTTTTATTTGGAATATTATTTATAATGTTATTAGTATTTTTTGTACTAGAAAAAAGAAGCTTTATTAGAAAGAGAGATATAACTTTTTTTTTGTTGAAATAATTAGAAAGAGAGACAATGAATTACATTCCTTGAGGATAAGCCATTCTCAAAGAGACAAAGCAAAGATGACTTGAGATCAAACTGAAAACATCCTTCATGCTTGAAATAAATGCATTCCAGATCCGATGAAGATCGGAAATGCATGTGTTTGGGTATAAGTCAGGAGACTTAGTCCATAATGTAGCAAAAGCAATATCTTTTCCACAATTCAGTGGAAGAAGTGAGGCAAGAGTTGAAAATCTGGTTGTTCCTAGATAGCCAAATGGTCCATAAGCGTGAAAATTGCTCCTCAGAACGGTTTGGCTTCTTTTCTCGCACCTTACCCCTAATATCGGAGCACAAAAAGCTCCCCACCATGATCTTATTAGTATTAGAAGTTCGTATCTTATTAGAAGTAGTATTTCTTATCTTATTTGTATTAGTATTACTATCTTATAGCAACATTTTAATCTCATTAATTCAACATTTCTTAGTTTTAAAGAAGAACTAAATCAAGGTGTTAAAGAAAAAGAAAATCAGCATGTTAAAGAGAAAGTAAATCAGAATGGTAGAGATGAAGTAAATTAGTTTAAAGGATATATTTCACTATTTATAAATTAATTGTTTATTTTCTTTTTCTATAATGGAAAATCTGTATATATAGTGTTGTAATATTCAATAGAATATACATAAATTGAAACACTATTCTTAACATGGGATCAGAGATGTAGATTAAAAGAACCCTACTTTCTAGAAACTCTAAATCGGACTTCATTGCTGAAAGACAAAAAGAAAATCCTAAATCCACATCCATCCTTCATAACCAGCCTACATAAAATACAAGCAGGCCTTCACAGCTGGAAAACGCCCCTATTTTGGCCAAAACAGCAGCCGGCCGCATTGCCTTGTTTTAGCAAACTCTATTTCACCTCTGTTTTTTTTCCCCAGCTAGTGCTCCTTTTCGCGTCTGTTTTGCTCCGTTTTGCTCTGTTTCCATGTGCTCTGCTCCAGCTGCAAGTGCTCTGTTTTGTGCTTTGTTTTGCGAGGTCTGCATTCTTTCCGCGTTCTGCTCTACTATGTTTTTGCACACATATCCGCTCCATTTTGGCATTTTGTCATGCTCCGTTTTCGCAAAGATCTGCTTTGCTTTCGTGCAGATCTACTTTGTTTTCAGAGATCTATTATGCTCTACTTTCAGCGACCTGTTTTGCTCCGTTTCAGCTACAATTCCTCTGTTTCAAGCCTCTGTTTAGCCGCAAGCAATACCTCTAGCCGTTGGTTCTTGCTGCCGCAAATCAGTTGTCGCACAGCCAACCAATGCATATTTGCCCTGGTTTTTTTCTTCAATAAAGCAGCTCCAATCAGTTGCTGTTTTAACGTGTACTAGGAGAACTGTATCTCCACCTATCTCTGAGTGCTTGATAAATAGAGCGTGGTCTTCTTGAGTCTGTTTAAATTTCACGTTTGTCATCACCTTTACGAACCTGCCTAATCATGTTCTTGAAAATTGCTTGAGTTTATGTAGTGCCTTACTCAATTTACGTACTATATCTGGTCCTGTTTCTCTATCAAAATCTAGTGGTATCTCCATGTAGATTTCTTCTTTCAAGTCTCCGTGGAGGAAAATATTTTTCATATAGAATTCTTATAGTTGCCAATCAAAGTAGGCAGTTAAGGACAACAAGAATTGCAAGTGTTTATCTTGGCTACTCTGCAAATGTTTTCTGATAGTTTGTTCCATAAGTTTCTATGTAGTTCTTTGTCATCAGTCTTGCTTTATATATTTCAATTGTCCCGTTTGCCTTACAGGTTTCCCTGATGATATCCCACACTTCTTTTACTGTAGACCGGAGTATCATGAGCTTGCTGATTTTTAGAGTCATGGAGTTTCAGAGTCATGCCATGGTCATGGAATCTTTATTCTTGCAAGCATTTAGAGTGAGTCTTTAGGTGTTGTCTAGTACTCAAAGGATGACTGAGATTGGCTTTTCCTTTAACGGTGGTGCAATTTAATTAGGATCAACTCAAATGATCTTTGTCTGTGAAGCGATAGGCAACCTGGATTGACTGAAATTCACGGTTAGAATTCCCATGTGGGAGTGTGTTCTAGTGTTTTGGAATGTTTCCTCCACCGTCTTTTAAGAGTTATATGATAATTAAGGCGGAATAAAATTTAACGAGAAGAAATTACCGGAGCATGTGTGGCTGCGCGCAAACTTGTTGGAACCAGTTGGGACAACTGGATGCAGGAGTGAGGCTGAACCTTGCAGATAGCCGCAGAGGAAGGGAGTGGCTGTGCTGAACAAACACACAATGTATGGACGCATGGTTCTATGCAGCAGAATGACATAGGAGGTGGCTTGCAGAGAAGGTTGCGCGACTGTGGCAGCAAGTTGGTGTTTGGTGGAGTAACCATGTCGGTTGCGGCACTTAGAGGAGCAAAGCAGCTGATCTGTGTTGTTGGTGTGGTGGGCCAACGTTGGCTACACAACTGTGTGGCGGGGATCTGGTTTGATTATACAGTTAAGGCCTGTATGGATGGTGATGGCCCAGCTAGATTGGACAAATTTTGGTTGTGCAACTGTAGGGTTCCCTAATTGAGACATCAAAGCCTGAAAGTGCATTTGGATACACAAGACATTTACGCGAGAAGCCTTGGGCGACGTGTGAAGAAGAAAAGGGAAGATGCAAGCTTCAAGGCAATTGCAAAGTGACGTTGGATGGCAGCCACAACTGGGCTGTGCACGAATAGAGACCAGTTGTGCTGCTGGAACGTGGTTGAGAGGCTGGATTCGGTGATGAAGGCCAATCGTGGTGGAGATGGCCGGTCCGTGGTGACATGCATCTAAGGTTTTGGTGGAAGCCAATGAAGGCTGCCCCCTTTTGGGGTTGTATTATTTTGGCAGTGAAAACTGGGATAGGATTTGTTAAAAAGTGTAAGGGTTTGTAAACTGACTTTGATACTATGTGAAAATTAGTTGAATCTGTCTTTATTGAATATCATGACTCTTATAAGAAGATTTTCTAAGATGGTAAAAGAAATAGACAATTAATTATAATTAATCTAATATGTACATTATTTAACAGTTCCTCTATGTAGAAAACAAACTCTCAAGAGCATAATCAATCTGTGTCGTGAGTTGAGAATAATTTTCATGCTTTACAACCTAATACCAGAATTTGGACATTGGACCCCTTGGAAATTATATAGATGAAATTCTTTTCTGAACATATATCACAAGACCCAAATTGTTATCATTTTCCTTTCACCTATGAATTTTGAAAAGGTCAAGTTTCTTCAGAGGAAAGGTGTTTGCATGGATTGTTGTTCTCAGCATATCCAGTACTAATGAATTGCTGCAATTTCTTAGGCCTGATGGAGCTTTCTCACCAGGTATCTTTAGTAAGTGTCAACAACTGTATGAGACACATACTTATTTGTTCCTTCATTGTGAAATGGCTTGGAAATGGTCGACGAGATTGCTTGATATGTTTGGATTGGCTTGGGTGATTCCCCCTTCAGTTGAGTGTTTGATGAGTTTTTGTCTTCATGGGGACAAGTAAGAAAAGTTGCTAAACTCTTCTAAGCAATGAGCTATCTTCGCTGGATTATAGACTCTCTGGCTTGAACAGGATTGTAAGATGTTTAATAATTGCTCTTCTCGAGCCAGAATTAGTGGGAAAGATAACATTTTGGCCACCCTATGGGCAAAAGCCCCTAGGGAAGTTTTCAGATATTGCTATCTCTATGCTCCATAGAAACTTTGGTATATCTTGATATTCAGTGGCTTTTGTTGTGATACTGGACATGTTGAGTTTTCTATCAGAAGACTCTAGGAGGATATCTTATTTTCCATTTATGTAATTGTACCATTTTCTTTAATAATATGGCTTTTTCTATGAAAATAAGAGTTGATATAGGTAAATATGATTAAGCCACTTCTGATAATGTTATAAACCATTTTTCGTTCATGTCTATACGTAAACAGATTTTACTCAATATAAATCCCTGACTTACTTGAACCTTATGGTCATTGTAGGTCCTTCTACTCTGTGGTGCCCCAGGGCTTGGGAAAACCACCCTAGCACATGTAGCTGCCAAGCACTGTGGATATCATGTTGTCGAGGTTTCCATCTTTATCTTTTACTCATCAAGAATCATCCGAATCATCACTGACTCAAGGCTACTTCATTTTAATTAGTGATAATTTTTTTTCTGATGCTTTTATCTATATGCTTTTTTCTTTGTGGAGATAATCTTTGATTCTTTTTTATAGCTTAAAGGCATGCTTGCTAGGTTTGGGTTCACAATATAGGAGTAATTTCTTTATTTCCACAAATAACTTCTGAATAGGCATGCTGGTATATGTTATCTTTTTGCGGTAAATTTCTTAGCAAATTTTTAACTTTTCTGTTTATGCCTTATGGCCATGTGTGGCATCTTTTACCCAGATGAATCGCAAGTAAGCCCTTCACTGAATAAGAATGACTTGTAAGGTAAGGGTTATGTGTATGTTTGAGATAATTGAATAAGAATATCAGTAGGCTAGCACAAATGTGTAAAACTTAGGATAAAGTCATTCTCTTTTGTATTAATAAACTAATAATGTTTTTACACAGAAAAATCCGCCTTTAGGTAGACACTGAATAAGAATTAATACAAATAAATTAAATCCCAAACAGGGTATATGCTTCATCAATAAATACAAAGAAATTCCAAACATATAACAGAGTATTATATTCTATCGTTCCCTCTCAAGCTAAACACAAGATCGCTCATGTGTTGGATCATAATTCTTGGAATCTTTCGGAAGTAAGCCCTTCACTGAAGATGTCTGCAAGTTACTCTCAAATAAGAACAGAGTATTGGAATTGTAGATGACTTGCAAGAGCATTCATGAACAAAATGAATGTCTGGTTCAAAATGGACATCCAAAAGTAAGGGTATAAATAGATTGTTTTGGTTTGGTTTGGTTTACTCCTTATATCCAAACTAAACTTTGCTAAATTTGATCTCTAAAAAATTCAAACCAAACTAAACAAATGTACCATAAAAACAAACCAGAGTAATTCAGTTTGTTTGGTTTAAACTGATCCTTTATGTGTTTTCTAAACTAAGTTCCATTTGAAAAATAATAATTCACATTCATAATCATGTATGTTGAACAATATTTCTCACGAAATAAACAAGTTACATATACAAATAAGCTAGAAGAAGATTCATAAAAGAAATTAGTTGTATTATCTATAATGCTTCTGGATCTGGTTGATAGATTGTCAACTCAGTTCTTTGCATTCTCTATGTTGCAAGAAATGAAGAGTTGTGTACTTGTGTATAAATGAAGAAGAAAACTAAACAGAACAAAGAGACGATGAAAAGATGAATAAAGTAGGAAAGTTGTTGAAACCTTCATGGTTTGAAGGTTTTAGCAGCAAGAAGAAAGATTGAGAGGAAGAAAGTAGGGCTTTTGTGAGTGTGTGAGCTTGTAGGTGAGAGGCAGAAAAGAAGAGGAGAAACAAGAAATGGAAAGAAACTATCACCAAGCATTGGAGAAAGGTATAATTTTAAGTTCTTGGGCAAACATGGTAAGTGGTTTTAGTTATTTAATTTCACTATATATTATGTATTATTTTCTAACTATATATATATAATTTGGGTTTTGGTTTGATTTGGTTTGAACATTTTTCATATCGAACTAGAACCAATTTTAAGAATTTTGGTTTAGTTTCGAATCAGAACCAAAAATTTTAGAGGTTGAAAACTAAATCAAACACTTTCAATGGTGCTTGGAGAGGTGATTGGTGAGTGTCAACATGCTTTTGTTGAGGGTAGGCAGATTCTGGATGCAGTTATGGTGGCTAGTGAAGTGGTTGATGAGGTGGTGCGAAGTAGAAAGGATGGTGTCTTATGTAAACTTGATATGGAGAAGACTTATAATCATGTTCATTGGACGTTTGTTGATTATATGTTAGGTCAGATGCGTTTTGGATGGAAATGGAGAGGATGGATGAAGGCGTGTATAACGGCAACTTCTTTCGTTGTGATGGGTAATGGTGGACCTTCGTCTTTCTTCCGGGCTTTTAGAGGATTAAGGCAGGGTGATCCATTATCTCTTTTGTTATTCATTATTGTAATGGAAGTGCTGAACGGATTACTTGAGGAAATTAGGAAATTAGGAAGGACTTCTTTTTTTAACAGTCAACATCCCATCCTTCTGAATTTCCTTCACAAGGTGAGCGTGGAAGGACTTAACCGTTTCATCCCATCCTTTTCTAGTTTTCATACCATCTTATCCTTGTCTTCTCTCAGTTGGACATTGGATGTCAGTAGGAGAAACGCCGCAAATTCATCAATCTCCTAATAATTTAAATTTCTAGTCAGGCTCCAACCTCCACACTAATCTTCACCTCTGAATACCTCCTCTACCACCATCTTCTTCATTTGAGCAATAACATATATTCTTGAAAATTGATTCCTAAGGCTACCCCTCCCAATCCACTAGTCATCCTAGAAGTGAATGTTATTGCCCCTCTCAAGCTTCCACTATATACATTCCAAGAACTGATATCTCCCTGACCCAATCTTCGTCCATAATCTCATCCCATGAGGCCTCACTACCTCACTGACAAACCTCTCCCTAACTCCCCACCCTGTTGAGTCTTAATTTACTCGGCTCTAGAAGCACTTCTCCTGCTAGGCCCTGTTTATGTCAACAAGCGATCTAAGCCCCAAACTCCCCTTCTTCATAGGCTTCTTCAGCTCATCCCATTTCGCCAAATGATATTTATTAATCCTCTCACCATCACCCCGAAGGAATTAACATTGAATGTTTTCCAACTTTTTAGTAATCTTTACCAGAACCGTCAATGTAGATAAGAAATATATAAACAGATTGGTGAGAGTACTTTTGATTAGAGTTGACCTCTCGCCTTTTGACGAAAAAGTCTCTTCCACCCGTGAGTCTTGTCTCAAACATCTCTATTATTGAATCTCAAGTCCTCACATCTTTATACTGGCCCTTAATGAGAGTCCTAGTACTTGATTGACAACTTTGCAGAATTACACCCAACGCTACAACAAGTCTGTCTCCATCACCCCTATCCCTAAGTTTCACCAACTCTAATTTATTCAAATTAATATTCAGCCTAGAGATAGCTTGGAAGCACAAAAAGATACATCTAAGATTCGATATCATCCTTTTATCAGACTGGTAGAATATCAGGGTAATGTCAGTAAAGAATAAGTGCATTACCTCCACAGGATGATCACCACTCCCCACCACCACATCTCCTATATCCCTAGCTTTCTCTAACAATCTATGTAGTGCTTCCATGACAATGATGAACAAGAGAGGAGATAAAAAGTCATGCTGCCCTAAACCTCTAGAAGCTCTAAAAAAAGAAGGTCCATCA